GACATCACTGTGCCTCGGGCTCCGGTGCCTGCAACCGGTGCGAAAGGCATCGATTTGGACCACTAATTTATGCGACCAGCGGCTCCTCCTTCGACCCAGAGCTCGCGGCAGTTGCCGACAGACTGGCCGCCAAATCCTACCACCATGCAGTTGACAAGCAAGTGATATCTGACCCTCACGCCCTCCCGAGTCATGCCGAGTCCTGGCGAACGCGGTCGACTTCGCCCCCAGCCTTCTCCAGTGCTGCTCCGAGCACTGCCTTGAGGGTCTCCACCGGGGGCCCTTTCAGCTTCTCCGCAGAAGTTCCGGAATCGTCCTGAATCACTCTGTGGGATGAGAGATTTCAGAAGCAGCACGCGGAACCAACCGTAGCAATGATGCTTGAACTATACAAACACTCTCAAGGCGCCCAAGCAACAGCACTATCACGCCTCTTGGAGCAAGGGCCTGGTTGCGGAAGCGTGGTGTGCGGCCTGGTCCTCTGCGAGGATGTGCATCTACTCAGCTGGCAAGAAGAGCGTACCAAGACGGTCAAGTCTTTTCTATGCTCTCGCTCTAATATATGGCTCGTTGAGAAGTCACACCGCATCAAGATGCTTTGAGTGAAAGTCCAGGTGCTCTTCCATCACAGAGGTTACAAAGAAGTAGCTATGGTCGAACCCGGCCCGCACTCGCAGCTCCACAGGAACACCCCGCATGGAACATGCGCTGACAAACTCGAGTGGCCTGTAGACTTCACCGAGTGGTGATTGCAGAGTCTCCGACCCCACATCAAGAAGGATTGGCGGCAACTGCGAAGCATGCTTTGTGCTGCAGTCCTCGATCATGCACGTGGGATCGTACTTTCTCCAGGCCTCCTCCGAGCCAAGATAGGCCGACAGTGCACCGCACACGTCTGGCACGACCTTTTCGGAGACTTCCGGGATGGCCGTCGGATGGGCAATGGGCGCCAGCACTGAGACAGAACGGAAGCTTTTGGGTCGCCGGATGGCCGTTGCCAAAGCACCCAGGCCTCCCATCGAGTGTCCCATCAGTGAGACCTCTTCGGGCCCACAGGTCGGAAAGTTCTTGTGTACCAGGTCAAGCAACTCCTCCAGATAGTCCTGCATTCTGTAGTGCTCTGCCCAAGGCTTCTCAGTTGCGTTGACATAGAAGCTGGCGCCTATGCCAACGTCAACTCGCGGCTCATCTGGCACACCCTCACCCCTAGGCGAGGTGTCGGCTGCCAGAAAAATCAGACCACAAGCCGCACTGTGTTCCAGGGCAGTGGACTCCTTGACCACCTCCAAATGACAGCAACCCATGTCCGACAGATACAACACCACCGGGAAGTCTTCACAGTCATCTGGATATGGCAACACCATTTGCATGCGCGGGGCGTCGGGGACGTACACGCTGAAGGACGATCGCAGACCACCCAGGGCTTGGGACCTGTAGCTGCAATGAAAGAGTGTGCCCTCGAAGCAGCGCCAGCGCTGTTGCACCTGCAATGACTGCACCTTCTGTCCCTTCTTTCTGGCAAATCGCGAGATGGTGCTGTGTCGATTTCCAAAGCGACGGGCAGAGCTCGCAAGCACAGCGAGAGGAGGGGCCCATGGACAAAGTGACAGCCTCGAAGCTCTAGCCGAGGACTGGCACTTACCGCCACATGTCTGCGACCGCGGCGTGAGCTGCACCTGTAGCCGGGCTATGCCCAATCGAGCAAGCATGACTTCATGACAATTATGCTGCCAATCCATTCACATTGCTTGAACCATCATGCGGGAGATGTTCGCCCTGCTTCTCCGCTCGGGACTTCAAGGCAGTGGTCCTGGCTGATTCCCTTCAAGCTTTCAGCTCCCTCCTGGCTGAAAGCCAGAGTGAGCTCCTTCGGCCCAGTCGCCGACTTCGAAGCATCATTCTCTCTCACCTCCGACAACTGGATGTGGAAATTACAAGACTCTTGCAAGGCAGGAGCCTCAGCCGATGGCACGGCACCTTCGGAAGTCAGACTTGCGATCGGAAACTGTTTCACCGGAATATCCCCCCTCGCCTGCTGCAATGGTCGCCTCCGGCTTGGACCTTGCGCACATGAACCGGACGGAGCTTGCACATGCAGATTCCCCAAGAAGGGAAACTGGTGCCGGGCAGTGGAGAAGACTTTGGGTTTGGGAACCTTGGAACTCAGCTTTCGTCCGCGAGCATGCATTTCCATAAGATTTCTCCAACATCCGCAACCCAAGCCGCAGGCAGGAGCTGGCCAACTAGAGGATAGCTGGAGAAAACCTTTTGCCAGTTCTTGTCCTCAAACGAAACACGAGCGGCTTCTCGTGTGGAATTCAGGGATTTACAGCTACGTGGAGAGGCCTGGCTTTCCATCTTCTTTACCTGCTCGGCCAGCCGTGCCTCCAGCATTGGGACCTTAGACATCTGCTCGCTGCAGGTGTGGGGCTTCCAAATGCTGGCTCCCGTCCAACCGTGGCATGGGCTTCTGAAGCCTTCTTCTCGGCGGCCTGCACTTTCGTAGTGAGATAGGCCACCTGGCGTGCCGTGCAATGGGCTGCACCTGCTACTTTTGCTGTACCTGACATCTTGGAAGGGGCCGCGGGGCCTCTTGCTCGGCAGTTCTGGCTCGCTGCTCCATGATGCCCAGGTTCGCGGCTGTGCGCGCAGCCTTTCAACCCGTCTCAAAACGAGGACCCACATGAATGTTAACGAGACTTGTGCAATCCCGGCCTCATCTATCGCTTCTTGGAAAGCATCTCGATGCTGCTGCGCTGCCTGCAACCTTCGGCTGCGATGTTGGGACAGTAGTGATGGGAAAACGAACTTTCATGGCCCACGGCCATCCGGCAAATACCCATCGCGCCATGCGTTTATGTGGCCATGTTTGTGGTCCACACACTGCGAAAGTCACGTTGACTCCGCGAACATTGCACCAAAACCCTTTGAGTTCCACAACATTGTTCCGCCAATAATTACAAGTTTTTCGGCCACTCTTGCCAAGGGCCGGGCTCTCCCTGAAGCAGACTTTGTGCCATACGCGAGGCCTAGGAAGCAAGTTGGAGGCCTATGCACAAAGCGGCCCAAACGCGGCTCCACCACTTCCTGGGGCCTCTGCTTGCAGCTCGCCTGCCAACTTCTCTGCCTTTGCCTTCCATGCGAGAGCTTGCTCTCCTGCCTTTGACAGCTCCTGCCCGCGAATTTGCATCGGTCGCATGTGCTTTCAACCACAACACCACCCAACCTGAAGCTGCAGGACCTGCTCCTGCAGGCAGGCTTGAATGCTGCGGAGCGCTCGTGCTCGTGGTCTTTCTTCCCCACCTGCAGCTGCTTCTTCGACGTCTCAGCACCCAGCTGCTTGGCAGCAGCCTGCAGGAATAAGCATGCAGCACATGCGAGCCAACGCGGCCAGCAACCAAAAAAGCAAAATACAAAGAATGGGACCCTTGTGTCGTTGGATTTAACCTTGGCATGTACGGGGAAGGGATCCTGGGCATCTTCAGAGCAAGTGCAACAGCTCGGCATGTCGGCCAACATCGCTGTATCACCTTTTTTACTACCACTCAAACTAAACGGAAATCTCTTCTGCGAGACCACTTTCTGCCTGGCAAAAACAAACAGGGCAGCATGCTTGCAGCAAGAACAGGCGGGGATGGTGCCAAGCGCGGTGCGGATTTCGCCCTCTGCCCCACGCAACGCAGCACGACATTCTCATGAGGCGAACAGAACACCTCGTCGCCAAGCCTTTTAGGACAACTGGAGATATCGGGCTCGCTGCCATCGCAGAGCAGCTGCAGCTGAGGAAGACGGCTTCCACACAAATCCCTGCTCCCTTTGCAAGGTGGAAGAGGGCTGACGTCCACGGCTGCAAAGCCCAAGGACTTACATGCCACAGATGCGCTCCCAATGCCGGCTTGACACACCGGGCTCCACCCGTCTGGAAGAAGCACTTCAAGCCGACCAAATCCGTCTTGGCTGAGGTGGCCCGCCTCATCCACGAGGCGCACTGCGTCACGAGCTGGCGAAGTTGCGGAGCTCGAATGGCAATGGATCACAGAATCGCGGGTGTGCTCCAAGCAATCACGCTCTGGAATCATCCAACTGCATTCAGCCAAATCCTGCTCATTGCCCTTGCAGCTTAAACTCTGCATGGCTACGGGCATGCCTCGACTGCCACATATGTTATGGCCATGAAACTCCGAACAAGTGTTGTCGGAGACAGATCCTCCTTCAAACCCCATACGTCTACAGATTGCATTTGCCGCCCCATCGTTGAGTCCACAGACAGAGCCGTAACCGCTTGCAGTTTGTACCTCTGCTAGGCCGGCGTTTGAAAGGCTTCCTGTCTCATCAAGAAGCCTCACCGCAAGCCCTCGAGGCATCGCAGGCTACGGGATGCGCATTGCAGGAGCTGCGAATGTAGGTCGTGTGTGATGGATGCAGGGCTCATGGATAGCTTTCTCGCGGCTCTCAAAGTGCATGCTGTTCGACCACTCCACTTCGTAGCAACTGTTCCCTAGCCGAAAGGATACACAGAGATAGACAAACTTTGAGTTTTGGTACCTCCTGGCATCTCCTGGAGCCACAAAGAAGCACGGTGAATGCAACGGAAAAGACTCGGCACCTCTGAGCAAGTTCACGGCACCTCCTTGACCTGCGCCTCCAGTTTCTGTTGCAGTATCTCCGACCTAAGCTTCCGGTAGCTCGTGTGCCGCAGGGAAAACAGCGCCACAGTCAGGACCAGACTTTTTCTGCTCCTGCTCAAAGCACTCCTTGCCAGGGCACTCTGCTTCAGCTCTCCGACATGGGATCGACCACAATGCTTAACAGGGTGCGAAACGGTGCTTTCCCGGTTCACGGTATGCGCCGATGGCCTGCCAGGACTTCTGCTCGCCTCGCACCGCATACTCTGCCTGCCATGGCAGAGCTTCAGAGAAACTAGAGACACTGGCTGACTGGATGCAGCATCTAACGAAGGGCCCCTGCTGGCCATGCAAGCCAGACCAGACCACTCGCGACTTAAGACGATGTCACAAGGATCAATGGTTACTCCGTACTGTTTTCACAAGGGACTCGACGGGGTAACTTGACCCCTGCTTTTCCTAGAGTTCTGATCGGAGGTCCGGGTCCTGACCCGCTTGTCTGGTTTCAGACTCCATACCATCAGCCATCCAATGCATGTTGGCACCCGTTCTGCCATAACAGCCTCGAGCTGTCGTCGAAGCGCGCAGAGCTCTGCCACCAGCTTGGAATTGCTGTCTGTCCTGATGCACCGCACCGGGAAACGGTGAGGCTCAGCTGCTCTCAAAGGAGAGGCCAGGCTTCCGGCTCTTCCTTTAACCGATTCGTCAGAACAGAGATTTGACCCTCCATGCCACGAGCCTGCCAGGGTGCTGGGCTTCAAGCAGACCGTCACATATTATCGCATTTCTGAGGTTGTCGGACTGTTGTGGCTCCGCATGAAGCACGCGTGGAGCAGTGCTCGGAAACAAAACGCAGATGCTTCCGCATGTGTGTAAGGGACGGCGAGAGGGAGCGAAACGAGAATGCCCAACGTGCCGGGTAAACTCAATCAGCCTGGTGCACGCCGCCACCAGCCTTCGCATTGCTGTCATCAAGCTCTGCGGCCTGCTCTGTGATCTGGGCCTCTAGGAATCTTTCGAGAAGCATTCACACGAAAATTGAAACTGCCGAGACGGAAGAGGCCCGGATCTGCCCGCAACACCTGTACGCCAACTCGAGCCCGTATCAAAGGCAGACAATACGCTGCTGGGGCTTGGACATTGGCCTTCGCGAGGCGAGCTCGCAGCAGCTTCGCCTGCCAAGCACCGCTCCGCCTGACGCCTGAGCGTCCCTAATGGCCCCTGATGTCCCATCTTGGACCCCTCTTTGCCTCATCGGGATCCAGGCAGCGCGCCAGCTCGACCTGGAAGCGCTCGAGCCGGCGCTTCTGCTCCTCACAGAGGCCAGGCCAGCGGGGCGGTTGGAGGGATGGACTTTTTTGTCCCTCCGGATGTGTGCCTCCAGCTGCTCATCCTTCAGGTCCAGTTGCTGTCTCTGTTCACGTATCGCCCTCAAGAGCTCTTCCTCAGTGAATCTTGTCCAGCAACATACAAATGAACTGACATAAACTCGAGGCATGGGCGCGGCGTGCATGCGTGATGCCTTCGTCCTGCGCATAGACTTCTGGCCCAGCTGGACGCGCAGATGGACACTCATGGAAAGGCCTCCGGCCCCAGCAGGTACGGATCTTCCGCACCTCGAAACTCGCCCTCTTGGAAGATGGAATGCGCTGGAAAAGCCAAGCCACTTGGATTTTGGGATCCGATGGGCTCACAGAGGCTTACAAGTCTCGTGCGGCAAACAGAAGCAACAGCTCCAAGAGTCGATGTGTGCTTCAATTTCTACCTTCAAGCTCTAAAAACTCTTTGTTCTAGCTAGTACGCCTGCAAGCCAGAGTCGTCATGCAAACCATTGCATGAAATGGCCATGCGACAGTGCGTTCGTCCTTGTTTGGATGCAAAACCTCAAGCAACTCGCGGGAGCAACCTATCCTGTCCTGCGTTTCCAAGACTAACTGCGTGAAGCTGGCTAGCATAGACCCTTGGTACTTCTGGGTTTGTTCAAGCACGGGCCATTTCCACCATTCTGAAAGCATAACTCGACATACTCGACATCTCTGGTAATGTATCGGCCAGAACTTGAGCTGTCACTTCCAGCAGGACCGATGTCCCAGCGATTGTCGCTAGTTTCTGCAAGAGCTCGCCTGCCCAAGCTTGCTTGGGTTCTTGGCCATCTCCATAGTACGACATGATCGCACCTGGGGGGCGACATCTCAAACCGGGTCGAGTGGTGCAACGAAGTTGCCACCTGCCTTCATCCCCCTGCACGCTGGGGAACGTCTTCGGAGGGTGCAACCTGAAAGCCAGAAATTGTAGATCTTCAACTCAATGGCTTTAATGGCGAGAAAGTCGTTCAAGCACCGGCTGGTTCCAGCTGAACTCCCCGAAGGCGCGGAACAGAGAGAAACAGAGTTCGCACCCCTGGCCCGAACCTGCACCCTGCTTGATAGACGAGCGAGAACGAGAGAAAGAGAGGGAGTGAGAGAGACGTCGAGACGTTCGGTCCATGAGTTGTTGCGCTTTTGTGCGGGTCTCGCCCATCCCTCAAGAGAAAAAACCAGGACGCAGGCACACAATACCAGAGACGGAACTCTCTCGCTAGAGCTTTCCAACTCCGCGAGGTTCGGCAGAGTGGCAGGGCGGCTGAGCTCGATGCAAGTTGAAAATACGAAGACAAACGTCAGGACCGGGGACGTATTTCAAGGCCTGGCCTGATCCAGGCAAATGAAGCGGACACTCATGTGCAAGTGTCCGAACTCAGAAGGCCTAGAAGTTGTTGGTGAGTGGTTACCTCGGTGAGCTCATATCACACCCTGCCGAAAATGCGCGCGGAACAAGTCGCCGAGGCCAGGTCATCTCTCATCCACGATCCGTTGAACATGTGGGGCTTGGTCACATGCCTGGCTGATCAGAGGTCATGCGAATCACCGGGCCGGGGCATCTTCAAAACAGGCCGGCAAGGGCATCATCTGGTCCAGGCCTCCCTGCTGCACCCTCTGCATCAGCTGTATCTGGGTGAGACAGACTGTGTTTCTGCTAAGGCTGAAGGAGCCAAGCACCACGTTGGCTCACTTAGACTGGCACGAATCGGGCCTGCAGCTGCTGAAAGTGAATCCCGAGCCTGAGCTAGGTCTTGCAAACTGGACTAACCATCCGACATCTGTTAGACGGTTAGACTAAGTTTCAGGATGCTACTGGTGATGCACTGGTAATGCATCAGCGGGAGAAAAATAACCAGGCACTCGTGCTACCTGTGGGTCACGCTGCTTTTTGTGAGCGCTCGGCTTCACCAAGTGCTCTAAGCGCTGTGCCTGTGGCCTCGCACAGCATCGACAGGTTGTTCCGTAACCCCTACGCCAGGGCTTTCGGTCAGGACAGGGACTATAAGACCTGAACCTGATACTTCAAATCGAAATCGATTCCTAAAGCCCTTGGCTCGCATTAGCACGTACAACTACGTCAAACACCTTCGCAGATCTGTGACGGCTCAGAGTGAGACATCTCATGGCACCAGCCGTCGCAGGAAAGCTCTCGCTGCGCAGAAGTGCTGCGTGCGCCGCGTGCACAACCGACAGCGCAGAAGGGAAATCAAAACACCCTCTGCTTTCTGCCCAGGCGGATGCTCTGCAATAATCTGTAGCCTGTAGCCCGACAGCATCCATGTGTTCGAGAATACGAACGGTTCCAAAACATATCTACCACAAATTCGCCCGATGCTTGAAAATGGTGAAACTCTGCACGGCCGGCCTGCAGCGTGAACAGTGCGTGAAGAGCTGCGACACATGAAACTACCAGGCATCGTCGAGCCGGGACGACATGAGTAGGTCTCCCCTCAATCGTCCACGTACGACCTGATATGGCATGCAAGAGGATTCCCTAAGCCCCGATGCCTTCAGACTTAAGGTCGCAAGAGACACTCAGCGGCCCACGCACCGGCACCCATACTGCTTCCGATCGCTGAGCTGCCTCCGGCTCCTGCACCGAATGGGATCCAAGGAGCCCACATTTCTGATCTTTGCCCCCGCCTGCCGCAGATCCTTCACCTCGGCTCGATGAGCCTTTCTTGTTGCCTGTGCTGTCCTGCGGCAAAGCGGGCATGGGCCATGGCTAGTCGAACAAGCTGACAGCAGACAAGTCTGCACTCTGCAGTCTCCTGGACGACTTTGCGAAGCACCTTCGGGCAGAAATGCATCGTGCAACCCAGACACGTACAGGCACAGCATTGGGCCAATCGCGTGCTTTGGAACACACAAACACAAACACAAGCAAACAAACAAACAAACAAACAAACACACACACACACACCCGCGCGCGCGCGCCCGCGCGCGCACGACTCAACATGCAAACTGCGAATGCATCGGGTGGTTTCTACCTGGCATGGATTCGGGCCAATGTCTCATTGATCTACAGCGAGCTCGGAGTGCTTGAAAGTTACGACAAGGTCGACGACACGCCAAAACCAAGACGTGCGGTTGCAGACCGTAGACTGTCCGGAGCTATGCAGTAGCAGCACGCAGGCGCTGATGGACGAGCTCACGGATTGGCTCTGGCGGAGGTACCTTCCTCGCCATGGACTCAATCTTCGTCAGCTTCTCCTGGTCGCCGCCTCTGCAGGGGAGCGATCCCATAAGCAGATCGCACGGCATCGCACGGACAGTGGAAAAAGAGGCCGCGACGGTGCTTGGTCTCTTCTGGCCACTGCAGCTCTGCAGAGCACGATCCACCGAATCGCAGGATGGAGTCCTGCGGCTGAGCTGCAGACACGGATCCAAAGAGAACTGAAGATGCAACGAGCTCGTGGTGCCTTCAGGACCACATGCTCACTGGCAGGCTCCGTGATCTGCATGCCACCCGCCACTCCCACGTCGCCCTGCGGAGGAGGACCGAGTACTGCGCATAACGCGATATAAATGGAATGACACCATGCGACCGGATTTTTTGCCGTTTTGTGTGTTGTCAAGCTCCTGGTTGAACTCCAGTGGCTGATCAAGCCCGAGGCTCTCAATAAAAGTCCTCATAAGGCGATGCTCTCAAAAGGGAGAGCATAACTGAACAAAGCCGTCCACCGGCATGCCAACGTCTTGCAGCGAGGAGTCGTCCACTGGTTCCTGTTGAAGTTGGCCAGTGCCTGATCGAGTTAACGGGGAGCCTAACGAGCCAGGTTCCAGCCGGCTCCAGATCCAAGACTCTACAGAAGTCTACAGACTAACACCGAGACTTCATCTACAAATACACCGGCCTTTCCGAAAGCATTGCTACGCTGATTCCACGGGCACGGGAACAAACAGGTACTGTACCAAAAGCTTGTCCAGTCCAGCAGAAGAGCGCTTGTCTCCTACTCATCACTTGGCCTCCACAATCTTTTGGGCACGGTTCAGCCGGGCGAAGCCAACCATGTCCTCAGCCACTAAGTGTTCAGTTCATAGCTGCAAATGTTTCATGCTGCTGCCTGGACCGGTCCCACCTGGTAGATGTAAACATAGGAGCTGTTCAGCTGGGCAATGAGCAAATTCATCAGCAGGATGGACGATGCCAAGACCTTGGGTTTTATGGCACGGGCTGAAGTGTGCAGGCTGCCCGTCAGAATCTTCCGGCACTGAAGCTGAGGGTTCTTGTGTGAACTTGTCCACTGCGTGACTCGTCTGGACGATGGGCCACGGATGGTGAGTACATTGCAACTAATCTGGTATGTTTGAACACCGGGCGCAAGTACTGCAGCCTGGCTGCGAACAGCAGCACTGCTGCAAGTAAGGCAGGCTCGTCTTCCATGAGAGTGCCTCAGCAGACAAGGAGTCGGGCCTTTGCCATTCCTCGTGTTATTGCCACCCTGACTGTTCTCTTTGCTGGGCTGGGCCTGTAGCGATGCTTCGACCAAGCTGCGGTAATCGTCTTCGTACAGAAGCACGGTGATGGAGAACAGGCACAGGACAGTGTTCCTTGTTGCAAATCCATGTTGCAAGTCTCTGACGAGCACAGTTTGAAATCTGCCTTCGTTTAGTGCCGTTTTGCTGCCACGACACGGGATGTCTCGCATCTCCTGAGGCCAAAAGTCATCGCTTCAGCTCGACATGCTGGACGTGAGCGGGAGGTCATGGCTCAAATCAAGCCTAAGGCTCGAAGTACGTATGGTGGAGGACGCTGATGGCACTTCCAAATGTTAAGAGCAGGAAGATCAAGGCAACGAGGAATCGGCCAATCTCACTCAAGACCTTTCGGGTTTCTACTCCGTTTCAGATGCTCAACATCTGCTCCGAATGACTCCACAAGTGTTCAAGCTGCGCCTGGGCACACACGAGGACGAAGGCTGACAACCCCGTGGAAAAGACAGCCAAGTCCACCATGAGGAACCAGTGTATAGCCATTGCTATCATGCCGAGGGCAGAGTAGGTAAATCGCACACCCTCATAGGTGTATTGCACGTCCTGGAGAGGCGGTCAACCCTGAGCATGAGAGCAACACCACAACGATCTAGATGTGGTTGGCTGGGCCCTACCTCGATGGCATCGCAATTGGCTGTCGGCCAGTCTTGGGGACTAGAGACCAGGCAGTGATACATCGGCTCATACGCGCACATCAGCAGAAGCAGCAGCGCCAAAACCTGAATGGACAGGCTTCTGACGCACGGACATTGGCACGTTGTGGATAGCAGAACATATCCTGGCAGTGATCAATGCTCTCTTGCTTGACCTGCCTGGCTGCACATGGGCCGAGCGCCCGCAGAGGTGCAAGTAAAAACGTAGTAAATCAAACCTGCCCTACCGGCCCTGCAACGGGCCTGCTTCTGGCGACAATTGGGGGCAGCATCAATTGTCATGTCTGGCTAAGGTGGGCAGTACCGGAACTGTTTAGGTCACCGGGCGGGCGTTTGGTGCAAAGGGACGCGTCGAAAAGCCCTCCTCTGGTAATGGTGCGGAGTCGTTCTGCTGTCGCCTCCATGCTATGTTGAGGGGCATATCAGTATCAAGGCTACCTTCACCTGCCGCTACGGTATATGAATACCGCAGGCAGAAAAGTTTCCAAGAGACCTGACAGTCCCTACTGCAGGCACAAACTTGCAGCTGTGACACCAAGTTGCCCATCGCCATGGCGTTGTGCAGATACTTTGGAATGCGAATGCATGTCACACGGGACCACTTGCCACGGCGACAGTCTTTGACGCACTTCCAGATGCATCCTGCAGGGAACAATGCAGGATGCAAAAGAAACAGAGCAGACTCCTTCCAGCAACAAAATGTAGCCCGGCATGATCACTGCCGCCGAGAGTCTGATCAGCAGTCTGGTCATGGTCACCATGTACATGAAGGTTCGCCCAAAGAAAATCACAACCCGCACTTCCCAAATCGACTCAAGCTGGGTGGTCTTGGGCAAGATTGCCGCGCTCAGCATAAAAATCAGTAAACTGGTCAGAAACCACAGGCGGGAGACAAGGAAGGAATTCCGTACGATGCCTCCCCACCTCAGAGATGCCGGAGCAACATCCAGAACACGGTCTAAACTGTCTTGAGTCTTGCTTGAATGCGTGCAAGTCGCAGAGTGTCAGACACCATCACCACCGCGGGGTGTACCATGATCTTCGGGTCTTTAATGGTGCAAATCTCTCTGAGGAACTCCGCCGGCTCACCCTCCTGCGACATGCTGCACCTAGTAACTAGCTCCGCCTCTGGGCTCGGAAGCGCCTGATTCACCAGCAGATGCTTCACCTGGGCAGTTTCGGAAGTCCCCTTTTGGCAGCGCCCTCCCTCGGCCCTCCCTGGCACACATGGCGCACATGTCAGATGCAGGTACGGCACGTAGAAGTTCACGCGGCGAAGACCGGAATCCGTTCTAGCAGAACGCCAGATCAAGCCATTGAGGAGCGTTGGAATGAGGGTTGGCGCCTCAAAGAATCATAGTCTATCTGCAGGTCTGCAGGCCTTAACCGCCTTAACCTGCTTGCATTGTCCACAAGCTGCGTGCCTCTCTGCACAAGCGATTGATGATGTCCTGGTGACGTTCGAACAGCGCGTCATTTCCTGAACAAGTACAGCTTTTCCATGCCGTGTGAAAGTTGAGACTGTCTTAGGAGTTTCGAGCGGCCCTGGATGGACCTATGACCTGCGGTGCGATAGCACTCCTTCACGACTGCAACAACAACACCATTGAAACTAGACACACCTTGTCACAGAGATGACTCAGGGCAAAGGCTGTACCTGAGCAGTTTCGTGCGGTAGCTTTCTCTCCAGCTCGGTGCTGGCATGTGCTCGACAAGCATCCGTAGTAGTACTTCTCGCGGTCTGCACGAATCAGTAGGAGGTCTTCTATGATAGCCTGCCGATCCCAGCTGGCATGAGGCACACGGCTCTCACATTTCCTCGAGCACTCTCTACGACAATTTATAACCTTGACAAGCCCTTACAGAGTCCGGTGGCCCTGGGTAGCACGATAGCACTCACTTCGGTTGTGCGGCCTCGGCAGCTGCCAAACTGCCGCTTTCGATCGCCCAATAGAGGGGAGAGATCGAATGCGTGCCAACCTCCGGCCAATGCAGCAAGAGTTCTTTGCAAGTTGGAGTGTCCCGAGTCGACCTGAATCTTCAGCAGCCACTGGAAGCGCTGGCCGCGAGGAGCACAGCTGATGGCCTTCTGCCTCGATGGAAAAACGTTATCCGAAGTGCTTCTGGCAAGCGCCAGCCTTGCGAGTCTGCCGGGCCCCCGGCAACATCTTCTTCGAGTTCGCATTCACTGCCTTTATCAGGCCACCAGTCAGGTCTGTGAGTTGCTTCACAGAAAGTCGGCCAGCCTTCATCACGATGGTGGATCCTTCTGCGATGGTCCTCACCTAGGTTCAAACGCACAGCACTGCAAAGCTTCCATCAACAGGTTGGCAAGGCTTCTTGGGGCCGGGCTAGCTGCTTCGACACCATTCCCAAAGACCACTTGAAACCCTGCAGTGCCAGGGCATTGTCCTTAGTCACAAGATACTGGCGACCGCGGGAGACGGTGCGCATCGGCCATCCCTCCAAGCAGACACCATCTCCAGCACAGCTTCGCCCACGGCATCCTTGATGACTTCCACGCACGCATTGACCTGACAAGTTTGTCAAATGACTACCTGGTACTACCATGTACTACCTAACAGGGCTCCGTCTTGGCTGCTGCCTTCTCCCAACGCTGAGGGCGGCGCAAAGGGTGCAAACATTTCGGTCGGCACGCCATATCCGACGTGACGCAGCCCCAATGCCGAGAGGTCGTCTATTAACTGGCAATTCATGATGATTGATTGCCATCGCGAAGATCGGTCTTACAACCCGGCCTGCCATGGGTCTGCGTAAATCTCGATGGAGAACGTGAAGACCTCTGCAGCAGACAGAGCAGCGAAACGTCTGCGATCATGCCTCGAAGGGCTGCAGCTGCGAGCACAAGCCGATCCGGCCTTCTCTGCAATGAAATGCAAGCGCGTGTCCGACTGCTTGAAATACTCTTGGCCAGCAGGGGTAGATGCAAAAAAGCCTCGCTGGGTCCAAGTTAACTACTGCCAGTTTTTGAACGAAAAGAAAGCCACCCCCTGTCTGTCATGTAACATAGCCTTCGTACTGCCTCCGGCCTCCTCTCAACCACACATTCACCAAATGCCTCAAGAAAAGACTTGAATTCATTTGGGACCAGCCAAGCTGCGTTCGTAGATCTCTGCGCGAAGCTTGTAACCTTAGAAATGCATCAAGCTCGCAACCTTCGATTAACTCGCAGTGGCACTGCAAGCAGGGGACGCGCATCCTCGCCGACGGAACCAAAATATTGGTTCACAGCTGCCTGGCTCAGGGCTCAGGGTCTCTATGCTAATGCTGCACGGCGAACTGCAAGCGCATGCGCCGCTTTGGTATTCCGAATGACATTTGCACAGACGACAGATGCTGCGCTGTCAGACCATGCCTCCCACTTGTAGGAGCTGCCAAGTGTCTGTACCTCAAACTTGCAGGCAAAACGGCCAAATATATAACGCGGCGATTGCAGGGTCATCAAACAGAAACCTGACATAATCACTAAATCGGGCTCAGGTTGCAAGCAGTGTCGCGACGTTATCCCAAAGCCAATTCCAAGCAACCTCATAGTTTGTGTCCCATTCCTGCAAGCCAGAATCATGAAGTGTCTTGCTGCGAGCAGCCAGTCACCTGCCTTTGGAAGCAGGGATCGCAATGAGGACAACATGCAGGATTTGAATTGCGCCAAGTTGGGGGCCTTGACAACAGAACGCGCTTCATTCTCGTATTATCGAGAATCCTGCACATTACAGCATCCTGTCCCACTCCCATATTGGGCTCGCAGCTTGACCCCGAGAGACCTGGATGAGCGAAAGGCAGTCACAGACCAGCGCTCTGGTTCGCTTGACTGCACGCTCGGCACCTTGTCGATCCGCAGCGACAGCAAGTCGCACTCCTCGTGCAGTCGCAAAGCGTCCGATGCGTTCACGACGATGTCTCCGAAGGAGTTCAAAATTTGCTCCATCCTTACTCAAGTGAAGCACGCCAGAATCAGGCAGGCACACAACGCGACGCTAGCTTCCACGGCCATGTTGAGAAGGTTGTGAGCGAGCATCCAGCCACCGATGCCGAACCCCATCACTTGCGAGTTAAATCTGAACATCTCCTTGGCCCGACCCACTCAGAGGCAGCCCTACAATGTCCTTATGCCAAACCTGTGCGACCCGTGTGCGACGTCCAAGTGAAGCTGACCAAGTCACAGAAAACGTCATGGGAACCACCATGCCATTCTGGCCAGTGGTTGCAGCTTGGTTCCCTTCAGGTACAGACAATGGCTGCACACTTTTGCGGCTTGTTTTTGCCGGCATGATGTTTAGAATGGTTGCCTGCCAAGCTACCACCTGCACCACCACCCGCATTCGAGAGATTATTCAGATTCTTTTTTGAGGTGGCCTTGGCGTCGCTCAGTCGCAAGTGCACAAACCACTTTTCGACAAGATAATTTTCGTTGTATTCCAGGCGGCCTTCATGGTGACTGCTCGGTTTAGCACGCCTGCATCACTGCCTGCAATGCGAGCAGATTGTGCTGGTCCAATGGTCCCTTGAAATTGGCAGACAAAAACGCTGTGCCAGCCACCGTCTGCTCGTCTCCGCCGACAGAAAGAGCAGCACCCCTGCACGAATGTGCTTCATCAACTCAAGCCCATCAAAATGCTGAAGCGGCTGTTGCATTTTCTGTTGCTCCATGTGTGAAGGTAGTGATTGTCTGCCGGGCAGGCCTTCTTCTCCTCCTGTGCGACTTGCTGCGCAGCCTCGCCTAGATCTGCCTTAGAGCGTGAGATGTGAAGGCAGGTATAACTCCAGCAAAGACAAGACTGCGCAGCAAGATGCTGATCTTAGGCTGAACTGCTCGTCGTCCTCCAGGGTCAGAGACTGAAGTAGGACCCGAATCTTTAGAGAATCTTAAAGCGGAACAAGCCATGGCAATTAAGGCCAATGACGTGCTCTTCAGACCAGGAGATGGAGCAACCGCACGAGTGCAGTTCTACGATGGCACAAGCTCTCCGCTCTCGAGGCTCTTTCGAACTGCTGCTCACTCTGTACATGTGTCGCTCCGTCAAGCATTCCAAAGACCTGTACAAAGGAGGGCCGTGCAGCACAAGCAAGCTTAGGAAAGCATCATGCTGCTTAGGCTTATGCCCTCGCAAGCTCATCCTGGGAACAATCCCAGAATAACTTGCCGGAACTTGTCGTCGTCATAATCCACGCTTATCCAGGTGCGGGTGCCAGTCTCGAGCACGGACCCCCAGCCCTTCGCGTCTCGATAAACTCGCACCTCTTCAAAACGACACACGGTTTCGTCAACCACTGCAGCCATCGCCAACGGATCGTGAAGCTTCTTGCCCTCTCCCCGCGAGTAGTTGCACATAGCATGATACAACCTTACAGCAGACATCGGAGAAAAGGCCACAACTTGCACGTCTCTACACAGGCCCCTGGCTGCCAAGCTTCAACTTCAGTGCTGCGGCCCGGGTCGTCTCAGGCTGCGCTTTGTGGATAGCATCGCGGAAAGCATCATGCAGGCGGCTGTCGTACACGACCTCATGTCTTTAACTGCTGGCAAGGTTTAGATCGCGGTTGACAGTGCCATTGTCCAGTCGTGCAGCTGCTTTTAAGCATGCTGGAGTCAGCGACGATTGCTAAGCTGCACAAAGTGGAGTGAGAGACTCTCTAGAGTCTCTAGAGTGGCAAGGCTAATGGCTTGGCTTGGTTGCGCCTGGGACTATGAGTAATTCATCCATGCGGTGGCCATTGATCGGCTCAATGTCTTTGAGGAACGAACTTGATTACTAAGCCATCCTTCTGGCCGGCTAGTAAGGTGGTCCACCAGCTGACTGGCTCGAACAAGCTTCATCATTCTCAATCTCGATGCGATGCGCTCTCCGGCCAGTAAAACAGGTACCAGTAGCATTCAGCAAAGCCCCCTTATCTTGCAGATCCCCCCGAACCCTCCGAGAATCATTGTATTTCGGCATCGAGGGAGCGTGCATCAGGTGATCGCGATCGTTCTCATCGTCTAACATGATTAGTCACTTATCATTGAGGCCTGCGCGCGGTGGCAAACGTTCTTGGATACCAGAACTTTTCTGCTAATGGCTTCGCTGGCCAGAGCTGCATGTGCTGCAGGCCGGTTGCCTGAGCATTCATGTCAGACAGCTCTGGCTTATGTCATGACAAATGCAGGGAGTGCTGCGCCACTCACATCATGCCTGGCGACCATTGAAGTTCCAAGTTTCACATGTCGTTCTCCCTGCAAACTTCCTGACTGAAATGGGCCGGCTTAACTTGGCAGTCGTAAGACTCGCAGCCAGGACACTCCATCTGCAAGTGCTTCGGCACCACACCATCGCCAGCAAAGCCTCCCTGTGCCACCCATCTGCCCAGGCTGAAACCACCGATCTCCAAAGCTGCGCCCAAGTTGTGCAAAGGGCCTGGGATAAGAAACTCTTGCTGTAGCACCACCCAAGAGCGGAAGCGCCACTAAACCAAAGGCCTCCTGTGAGGAGCGTCGTGCTTGCATCACAGCACTCCAGCAACACTTGCGTGGCCGTCTCGATGCGAGCACCTTCCAAGCAAATGACGGAGGGCCACGTGAGGCCGTGACGTTTGTTGTTTCGAGCGTGGGTCGGAAGGGCCTGCCTTGCAACAACTTCTCAGGGACGCGACCAAAGCTGTGGTAAAACTTGCCACGCATACACTTCTTGTCCCCGTTCTTGGGCCATTCTTGTGCTCCTACTCGCACACCTGGCAGCTGCAGCTCCTGCAGAACCCAGAGAACCAAGGCGACTTGCTCTGCTGCACCTCAGCTTCGGCAGGAACAGAGAGCCGCCCCTCCCTCGGAGTCACGGTCGAGGCCCCCGGCCGGGAGTGATGGTCACCTGAAGAAGCCGAGCGGATCGCAGTCGCGGGGGCGGGACTTGCGCGAGGCTCTGAGAGACTCTGAGCCCCAAGCCGCACGCAGGCGGACTCTCGGATTTGCCGCCAGCAGCAGCAAAGTGAGGACATCGTCAGGATCGCCGGTTTCCATGTCGAAGACCACCTGCACCTGTAAACTACAGAAGCCCGCTCGAAGCTGCTCGTCATCACGCGGACGACCTTTCCCCGAGGCAATCAGGGACTTCTTCGGCCTCTGCCTCCTCTGACGTCGGGTCTACTGCGACATCCTGGCCTCTGCCTCGTCAGAGAAAACGAATTTGGAAACCGTTCTGCTCCAGAGTGCCGGGTCAGACGCCTGCTGGCGCCGGAGGTGCGGAGGGCGCAGCGGCGTAACCCTGCAGGGATGTCTCAGCAATAGCAGAAGGAACACGCGCGCACAACCAATAACTGTCACTAACCACTGTGACGTGGCTTAGCCGTGATACCTCGGGTTCTCGATCTCGTCGCCAGCGCCTCCGAGGACCTGGCGGTGCCGATGAAAATCTCAGCCGAAATCTCCCGGAACTTCCGTGGCCTTCTTTCACCCGAAAAGCCCCCCCAAGCCTTCAACTGTCCCACTTGGGCCCGGCTGTGGCTCCATGTGAAAGCGATTTGGGGTGTAGGAAACACAGCGATCTACAGCGACTCGTGCAGAAACGGCTGCAGATGGCGGGTGAAAGGGCTCTGCGAGCCCAGTGAGCAGCGTGCAGCTGTCCTCAAGCACCTCCTGAGCTTCCGCAGCCTCCTCCTCTTCTATCCTGGCAGAGCCGAAGAATGCCGCCGAAACATCACAAGACCTGAACTGTAGCCTCTACGTACCTAGGCAATAATTCAGAGGCCTTGCTTCTTCTTGCTTGGCTCGGCCAGCATTGACCTCAGCATACATCGGGCAGCTTCTGTTGGGCTTTGCCACGGGCGGCTTCTGTTAGGGCTTTGCCACGGATTCCTGGAGTCAAGGTCGCGACTTTCGCCCAGCTTTCTCGCAGAATCTTGAGGCGGTCTGCAAACTCATTTCTGACATAAATGCATGCCTCAGCAATTCAAACAAGCCAACAGGCTCTACAGCTTCAGCAATTGCCGACCTTGCTGCCAAGAAGCCCCTCCTATCCATCCAAAGAGAATCATATATCCTGTCCTGACCTTGGAACAACTCAAACAAGGCAAAACGGTTCTGTCATATTTTGTTGCCGTGATGGTCACCTCTGGGGCAAAGTTCTCGCCCAGCTCCGCTGCCAGACAATCCACGATGGCCTAAGCAATTGGTTTCCGTTAGCGAGGCCAAGAACTCTTGCTGTGTTCAGGCTTGGGCGTCACGAAAGATCATTGCCCGTGGGATTGTAACCTTCGCGGAGGCCAGAAGGCCAGAAGAGAGTCAAGAGCGAAGCTTCAGCAAAGCCGAGGCCTCGAAGTTGAGATGACCTGGCCGCACATGGAGACGAACCATTCCTTCTGTCACCTGTAACCTGCGACCTTCTGCTCTCTTGGGCCCGAGCGAAAAGCGAGTGACTCCCCCATCTGCTTCAGCTCTTTTGGCTTCAGCAGGTGCTCCACCTATGGGATGAATACACGGAAGTAACGCAAAGCGTTAAGTTCCGGAAGATGTGGTTCTGTAAGGAAGCAGCGACGGTCTGCAGCTCATCGATGAGGCGGATGGATTGGATGACCTTCCGAGTCAGATCCAGTCTGAACCGCAAGCCTTCCTTCGTGCACCACCGGTGCCCGGACTGGCCTTGGGGGTCTTGAAAAGAACTTGGAGCGAGGGGACACTGTCAAAGATTACGCCATACCTCAGTAAGGCCATGCATGCTACACCCCACAGAAACAGGACAAGCACTTGACTGTGAACCAGAAAACTGACACAAGACTGCCGGCAAGGCACAGCGATGATGCAGCTGAATCTCGGGAATCAAAGCAAGCGATGAAGGCATGCCAGGCCTGCGAGGAATAAAACAACAGGTGCAAGGCCCCAAGGCACCTCAGGCCCCGGGGCGTTTGAGACCCTTCAGACATCACAAATCTGTCTTCTTCCGCCTTAAGCATGGCTGCCGCGGTCTCCTTTGGCATACGCAGCTCTTCGAACGTTGCTGCGTTGATCCTTACCAAGCGCATGGGCCACCGAACAGCCCTGCAAGCTATGCGGGGAGTTGCAACAAAGGCGGCAACAGGCCCTGCTGCGCGTACAGCCGAGGCACTCCTCTGCGATATCTTCCTGGCACTGGACAAGGCAACCATAGGCAACCAAGCCAACGGCCCACTGCAAACCCCTCTTGATGGTGCAAGGCTAGCGACATTAGCAAAGGTCTCAGGAACGCTCCTTAGCTGCATGAGAGCTCTCCAAGATGCGAATCTCTGCAGAACTGTCTTTCTGCTCCAAGCTTCGAGGCATCGCTTCTTGAACTTGGACTGTGGTCACCATCGTCATGCGCTGGCATCAAGGGATTTCCTCAGCTCTCCAACGGAAAGAGCAGCTTACGGAGATGAGGCGAGGGGCTTTTCGGCACACCCACAGAGCCGAGGCGCAGCTTTGTTGCTGCAGGACATGTACACGCCACTGAGCATGAGCATGCCCAATCACGAATTCGTTGGGCCCAGTGGCTGCGATGTCATCATGCACACCATCTGCTTTGTGGCTACGCATATGCCATCACGATGGGAGCACTCCAAGACCTCGAGGCTCCGGCACCTGTCCTGCCTGTACGGAAGACAAATTGTGCCTTCATAGGCTGCCGCATCCCTTCAGGCACCCAAGTAGCTTCGGAATGCAACAGCCCCACGCCTGAGAGGAGGAAGTGACCCGGAGTCTCCTCTTCAGGAAGAAAGGTGAGTTCATGGGAAGGGCCAGTGTTTCACCGAGACGCTGCGAAACTCCTTGAGCGTGTTTCCCAGCCGGCCTAAACTGGATTCTAAAGAATTCTCAGGCGATAGTGATTTCACTACGTTGAGTCGCAAGCGACATCTTCCTTGGCGCTGCCGGATGATGAGAAGAAGCCGCGCTAGGGTGTGGCCTGAGGCTATAGATCTGTGCCACGCAGCCGCCCCTTGGTAAGCTTCGGTGCACTTGGCTTCAAGCTGACCGGGTGGAGCTGCCTGAGGTAGGTCTTCCATGGATTTCGCCTTTGCCTCCCGCGAGTTGATGCAAATGTGGGTGTTCGCAAGTAGCAGACCGAGAGACTTTTGAACAACTACCTGAATCTCAGGGCTCTGGCATCCGTGATACGTCCAGTCGTGAATTGGTGAAACGACGCTTGGGCGGGCCACGAGCATCTCAGAAGAGCATATTGCACACGAGACGATCGTTGGCCTTAGAGACTCAACCTGCTCAGGTCTGCCACAAGGCAGGAACGAAGCCCTCGATAAGGCTTCGGCTAATGTGATGCATGCTGAGATCAACTACATTTTGAGTCTCCTGGCTCTCACGGTCAAGTTGAGAGACGTTGTGGAGGCAGCTGTTGTCAGCTTCGGGAAATTCTCCGGTTGCGGGTTCGCAGGAAAATAATAGCTCTGGTTCTTCAGCGCACTGCGATTGAAGCACCACAGCAACGCTTCTCTGAGCATGGAGGAGGACAAGGGATGGAAGACGACAAAGCTACAGCTCTTCTTGACAAGGTCAGGCAACTCATGCTCTTTGGAGAGAACAATTATCGGAACTCCGCCGTAATGCGCATCAGCTCGGACTGTCTTGACAAGTCCTTCTGCTTCAAGTTCCGACTTGCCCAGATCTACAATCAGTGCATGGAATCTTTCCTTGCCATCGTGCAGCCTCTTCCAGAAATCGTTGGACGAGCGAGCAAAACATATTGACATCTCCCTGGCAGCACAGATGAGGGATCGCATGATCCCCTTTCGAACGTCTGCCTTGTCAGTGAATATGAGTACAGATCTCCCCGTAACTGCTTTTTCAAAGGCCTTCATCAAACGCTGCGCCTGCTTGTTCCTCCCCCCCTTGGATTCTGCAGCTGAAGGCGCGTCTGCTCCATCTAGCTTACTGATGTCCGCAAACTCTGTCCCCATGGCGTCCACGGAGCTCTTCAGCTCTACTGTGGTCGACATTTCAGGGAGCTCTTCAGCTAGGCCCAGCTTCGGCAGGTTCGGAACAGATGAAGTCTTTGTCACTGCAGGCGCAGCATCGTCCATTTTGACTTCCGTCTGAAAGAACACACCACTGCTGGTTGCCGGCAAGGAAGCGGAGTGCGAGATAGCAGGTGGACCTCTGACTTCAGGCAAGACTTCGCCGTACCTTGCATTTCCTGGAACCGTGTGACCAACCGGATTGCTGGGTGGCCTCCAGCGAGAACTGCCTCGCTTCAAGCGTCTCAATCCAGACCTGTGCTCCTTCAGAGCCGCTGGATCTGCGTAGATTCTGCGCACCGTTTCCACACCAGGACCGCAGGTGGTGGGAGCACTGCCGCCCAGTCCCTCCAGCACGCACAAAGCGCTAGGATTCCTGAGCTCAAGGCTGCCCTGCGATTCCCCGAACACACACACACACACATACATACACATGCAGCTAAGCCTCTTGTCGTTTGGTGGCCGCCGCCGATGATCTAGAACCAGAGGCAACCAGTCATCTAAATCCTGCACAGAACAGTGCAGCGATTGTCCCGGCACAGCCGTTCAGAATTTGACATCCCTCAGCTCCTCCAGCTCAATGACGGGTGGGGCTCCGCTACTTGGCGGAAGGCGAACCTCCTGGCGCTCTGCTGGTTCCTGCTCCCGTCGTTCGCGACGCTTCTGAAGCTTGGCCAGCCTTAGGGAGCGAAGAAAGGCGCTGTCTTTACGCGCGCGCGCGCGCGCAGACAGTAGCTCAGGTGAGGAACTGCTTCACCGCCGCCTTGCTCGCCCCCGCTGGAAGTACCATGACATTTATCGCAAGGGAAGGCCGTCACAGCGCTTGAGCCACCTTTCTGAATCACGAGAAGTGCTTGGGCCGGCCCAAGAAGCATGCGCATCACGACGGAGCACTTCTCCCTGCTGCTCGTGCCTCCGAACCTGAGGCCTTCAGAAGTTCCCGACGCACCTGAGCCCGTTACAGCGAGTGCTGCAGTCACTGGATCATGCGATAGATGGGACACCGTTGAGGATGCATTTTGGGAGCACGCTTTGCAAGCCGCATGTCCTTCAGTTGTGGAAAATACAGGGCACATGCCACTGATGCCGCTTGCATGCAGTGTGTGGCCCAAGGCTTCTCAGAAGCGATGGTTACAGGTCGAGCGTACTTAGGGTGTTAGGCAGCCCTGGACCTGGACTGCAAAGGTGCATCTTCAGCACCTTTCAGCAGTCTTCAGCTACGCTGCATGCCGATCATGACGACCTTTCTGCGCGGATGCCTTAAACAGCCGGTGCTCGTCAAAAGATGCGATGGGGCTCTGCACGAGCTCCTCTAGTCCGGATCCTCGATCAGATCGCCTGGGACTTCCAAGCAAGCGCAGCACGCCCTCACACGACTCACCTGCTGTCCAGAACCATTTCCAGCCACGCCACGGATATCAAGACCAGACTCTAAATAGTACCTGAAGCTCAAAGGTTTTCTGCCAACAACCGGTGCAAGGCAACTGAGAATACTTAACCGAGAAGGTGCAGAGCAATCTTGACCTAGACTAACAGCACCGGTCGTACCACCATCACCTCTGCATGCTGCCCTCAGCATAAACTAGCCTCTAACTGCGAACTTTCGAGATAATAGAAAGCCTTTCAGTGGCTGGAGCAATTCCAAGTTCTGCCAAAACGCCCGCCATTCTCAATGGTCTTCTCGTTCTCAGGCAGCGCTGCCTAGCTCAAGGCACAAAAGATCCCTTTTTCTGATCCTTCGTGGATGAAACAGAGGTGTGTCTATGAAGTCAGAAAGAAATTAGGGGCCCTGAACTCCCCTTCTTTGTAATCGTAGGTGCATGCTCACCTGAGCATCGTCTCACCACCATGTTCCACAGGTTCTTGCAACTCTGTCTGTGTCGTAAGTTGCTCCCAACAAGCGAAACCGAGTTCCAGACAATGTTGCAATTCCCCTTTAGCTGGCGCCACCAACTCCCCCATCATAACAATAGCTTGTGAATTTCGCAGAACGACCTTCCTAGCATTGGCCATGCTTGGGGTCCACATGTCGCCCGAAATACATCTTGGAGGCGATTTCAAGGCTCAGCCGGACGTGCCCGCAACACAGCCAGGTTATTCAAGCGAGGCGGGTGTCAGGTTTGGGGCAAGGGCTCCGCCCTTTTACAGAAAAGGTGCCCACGAGACCACGCACGGAAATGGACAGAACCACCCCAGCCCCAAGCCATCTCCACAGCAATTCAATGCGAAGAAGGACTTTCGGCTCAGCGTCATCAGGCTGCAGAAGCATACCTCTACACTTGAGTCGATCTGTTGAGCTGCTATTCAAGCTGGACCAAATTCATCACCTACACGTCTCTGGGAGATGCGTCTGCCTGCTGTTCCCAGAAGTCGCTCTCCGTCCTTCGCATCAAGACCAAGCATGTCCCAGCCACTGCACCAATTAGAGAAGAGCAGAAGCACACAACGAGAATGTGGCCAGTGTCCTGTTGATTTTCAACATGATGGTATTCATGGCGGCTTCAAGCTCCTTTAAGATGGCGCGTCTAGCAAAATATGCAAAATCCAAGTTCCATGAGACGCACGAAGTGCAACCCTGCCGGCCCGCTGTTTGGCTTCGAACTCTTCCTTCGTAGCCTGACACTGACGAAGCATGGCAGCAGCAGCAGCAGCAAGCCGAGAGACTTCAAGCATCGTTGCTGAAGCCAGCCTTCATCGAGAATTCGTCTAGCCAGATATCGACCTCTTGTCATTAGCAAAGCACTGCGCTTGCACACAGGCCAGTCTTGGGATGGTGCGCTACAGTGCTTCATTGTGCTGCTCGCCGAGCATTCAACCACTTTCAAAGACATCGGACATCTTGGGACTGCCAGCAACTCGCAGGGTCATCCAGCCTCCTCCATCTTTTTCTCAAGGCGTTCTTTGTCTCGTCGCAGGATCTTCTCCTGTTTTCGGCCGCGGTCCCAACGGCTGGGCTTGGTCTTGGCGCTGACTTGCGACGTAGAGGGGGACTGAGAAGCTGGCGGCATCTATGTCTTCCATGGCCTTCCTCGTCCGCCGCATGTACACGGTCAGGGACTCACAGGGGTTCTTGCCGGCACACGCAAACGCACGAAGGATAGAATGCCGGCGTTTGTACTCTCTCGGCTTTCGAGGTTTAGCGCGCTGTGTAGTCCCGAAGTCACAGGCCTCTCTGGCCATGATCTCGCCTCTTGCCAAATCGTCTTCATCCTGTCCATGCATCTAACTCAGCCGCAGATGCTGCTCAACTAAGCTGTGCCTTGTGCTGTTCTGCATCCTGAAGCATGCGCTCGATCTCGCGCTGAGACAGACGACCTTTGCTCAAGGGTCCATTCATCCTGTCAACCTGCTCCGGGCAGCACTTCCAGCCCACCTTTCTCATTGGTGATCTGGATCTCTCCCTTCCGATGCGTCTTCATGTCCTGCGCGTGCAAAGCATTGACAAAAATGAGGCTGCTCAAGGGCATGAAACCGATGGCCTCTGCAGTCACTTCCAAGATTCCGTTCGAGTCGACGTTGAAGGTAACCTGAGCATCTTGAGCCCTGCAGCCTTGTAGGGCAGCCTGCGCCCGTCGGTGGAGTCTGCCTTGATCTTCGGCACGCCCCTCAAAGTCTTTGGGAGGCCGGTGAGAACGAACTTGCCAAGGTAGTTGTTGTCCTCGGCAGCTCAACCCAAAGCAGCAAAGGTTGAACAGATTTGCCTTTGTCTGCCCAGCTGCTTTGACCATGGCTCGCTCGCCCTCGTAGACCTCCACGTGCATAGGCTAGGGCACGGACAGGGCCTTTTCAGCCTCCCGACCTTGATCTCCACGTGATCCTGATAATCCTCTGCGGTGGTGAAGTCCTGACACTTCACTTCACCCGATTCTCCCCAAAAAAGCCTCTGATGAAGCGAAGCTGGGCCTGGCTCTTGTTGGTCGGGATCGTGCTGTTTCGCTCGATGAGTTTTTGCATCATGCCACCCGCCATCTCGATGCCTGGCCAGAAAATCGATCCCCACATGGACAAAGCAATGCCCGATTCCACGCCGCCTAAGGACAAAGGTGCCACGTCGAGGAGCAGCATGTTCTCGACCTCCTCTGTTCCTGAACTTCCCGAAATCGAAGGCATCTACGAATCTAGCGGTTGATCGGTTCATGCAAACTGCCAAAGGATTACATGATCCCCGCATGGCATGCTGCTAATGCTGCGGCGAGGCACCGGTACCCGAAACAATCGCTGCCTGAACAGCTGCTCCATATGCTACCGCTTCATCCGGGTTGATCTCCTGAGCTTGCGAGAGCCCACTACTCGAAGCTGGCAAGCTGGCACTGTCGTGCCTTGCAGAGATGCTTGCCGTTGAAGAAGGCGCTGATCAACTCTTGAACTTTGGGGATGCCTAAGGACATGGACCAAAGGCAAAGAAAGGCGGCCAAAGTCTCTGGGTGCCGCACGAGTGGAGCCACCTACGAGCACTACGTCGGAGATCTGCGACTTTGGCAGACTGCTGTCTGCCAAGCACCTGAGCAACTTGTCACTCTAGGCGAGATCAGTCACTGCTAGCGTTGTTGCCCAGGGCACTGTGAGACAGGCTCCATTGCCTTCTTGAAGTAATCCATGCCTGTGCACCGATATGTTCTGAGAGGACCCAAGGCCATTTTCCAAAAGATGAGGCCAGCGCAAAGCTCTTCGAATTTTGCACGGGAAAGCCGCATACTGAAGTCGACGCCCTCGTGCAGGGAGTCAATCCTCAAGCAGTACTCTTATGCGAAGAAGCCAGAACTCCTCGCTTTCACTGGGCCCTTTGTGTGGGATAACGGCTACAAACGGCTACTACATGCTACTATGTGGGATACAGTACCAGGTCGTTGCACCGCGAAAGAGGCAGTCGTAGAAAGGTCGGAAAAGATGGCAACAAAGCCGGGAGCACAGGACGAGGACAAATCAGCTGTTTGGCACAGGGAATCGATTGAAGTTCCACGCTCAAACTCAAACTCTCCGGATCCTGCCAGAGCAGAGAGACCGGCCTCTTCACTTTGCTTGGGCTCTTGGGTTTGCAAAATGCGCATCAACTCGTGTGAGAAACCCACCACCAAGCCTGACCAACTGGTATGTGCTCATGGTTTGGCCCAGGTTCAGCACTGTTGCAATGAGTGCGTGCGAGGAAACCGGCGCAGACTGATTTGGTGCAGAGCGGTCCACTTCAGCATACAAACAATGCGCTGTGGAATGCAGACTGCCAATGTCATGAACAGCTTGCAACCAAAAACATGTCCTCCACACCAGGAACATGAGGAGAAATTACACACGACCGGAGCCTGGCAGCTACACAACTGTTATGCCTTTGGGGTGGTCAAATTATCGAGAGCTGGCCCAATACGCACCTTTCAGGGAAACTCATCTCCGCGAGTTCATGGGTGATGCAACTTTTCATTTTTGGCAATCTAAGAGAACTTCCCCAACAAGTGCACAAATAAAAGGCATGCAGATGCCACTGGGTGTGGAACTCTATTGTCACGGATGTCTGTGTGGACAGCTGCCGCTTTGCGCGCTCGCACTGGGTCCGAAGTCGACGTAGTGCTCTCTGATTCCTAGGCTTGACTGCGAGCGCCGGGAATTCACAACTCGAGTTTGAATCTCTCTCCCTCTCTCCACTTCATACACCAAGAAGCCGGGTCGGATCCGACTTGTGCTTCCGGCGGAACTCCGAAATGCAGTAGCTCAGCATGCCTCGGAAAGAAGCAATGCACTTTCTGCAGCAGCTGACGAGGCAAGGGAACCGTCGAGCTGCGATTGTCGAAATCCTCCCCACCCAGGTGAGGATCTCCAGCTGTTGCCTTCACCTCGAAGACGGTATCCGTGATTGTCAAAATGGAGACCTGAGCACAAGAGCCATGTTGTTGCTCTGCGCCACAAGCATGACAGCCTAAAAGCCCCCAAAGCCCCTAAGCAAATGCGGCAAGGCCGCGTCAAAAGTGCCACCACCCATATCGAAGACTAGGATGTTGGTCTCCTTGGCCTTGGAGCACATGTATATGCACCAGCTTCAAACTCGAATGGAACAACTTATACTTACATATTGTAGTCCCAAGGAATATGGCCGTAAATCAAGACGGCAAGAGTAATTGCAGGATGGAACCGTGAGAGCTGTGTCGGCGGCACATGTCCCAGCTGTCGTGTCGAATTGGCGCCATATGGAGGCCAGCATCACGGTTCTTCCGGCAAGGACGATGCCGGCCGCGGCGGGCGCGTTTTTCCACCACAGATCTTGTCGTACAAAAAATACTGCAACATCTTGCTTGCTTGCTTTGTCTCCCGCGCTCTCGAGGTTCGGGGAAAGACAGCCACAACAACAGCTGCGATGGGAATTGAAAGCAGAGAAACCAGAACAGGTTTAAATGCTGCACATTCCCACCGAGGATGTCATGTCGGCACCATATGGAGG